ATCACCTCAAGGAGTCTGTTTGGAGTTGATTTTTATAAGTGAAAAGTTTTGGTTTGAAATATTTTGTAAAAAAATCAAAGTTAAAAAAATTCCTCAAAATCATTTGGGGTGTTGTTTAAACAGTTGACAAAGTTAGAAAAGTCTGTTTAAAGCCCTTTTTCTAAGTATCAAAAAAATAAAATAATTACATCTATATATAGATTATGCAAAATAGTTCCAAAGATATGAATTTTAAATTTTTTTACGTCATTAATAATATTTTATAAATAAAATAAACTAAAGAGTGATGCAATATTCGTAACAAAACTCGAAAATGTTAGAAGGAAAATTCATAAAATTAATTTCTTAAATCATCCTAAATAAAACATTTTTGAGTCTAAAATACTATTGCATAAGCTAATAAAAAAATAAGGTTCGAACGGAACTGACTTATTTTACTACAAAATATTTAAAAACTACCTATTTAAACTAGTTTTAAACGGACCCAATATTTTTCTACTTGAAAGACATGCCAACATTTTCACTAACTCAATCTTTAATTTCTAACTTGTAAGCATATGTTTTTGGGGACTGCAAATCAGAAGTAATGATATTCAGATTCCTATAATTGATATTTTTGTCTCACTAATGAGAACATACAATGTGGATCCATGTCATTAGGCATGTGCATTGGTACTTTGCCACATCATTGGGTGAAAATGAACAGTGCCCAACCATTGAACTATCCAATCTCTACAACAGTGCCAACCGACTTTATATCTCTGGTGTTAACACAACCATAAATAAAANATTTCAAGTCCAACTGAAATAGCTTAATTGATTCACAGCCATCAATGTTCTACGGCATCACCTCAAGGAGTCTGTTTGGAGTTGATTTTTATAAGTGAAAAGTTTTGGTTTGAAATATTTTGTAAAAAAATCAAAGTTAAAAAAATTCCTCAAAATCATTTGGGGTGTTCTTTAAACAGTTGACAAAGTTAGAAAAGTCTGTTTAAAGCCCTTTTTCTAAGTATCAAAAAAATAAAATAATTACATCTATATATAGATTATGCAAAATAGTTCCAAAGATATGAATTTTAAATTTTTTTACGTTATTAATAATATTTTATAAATAAAATAAACTAAAGAGTGATGCAATATTCGTAACAAAACTCGAAAATGTTAGAAGGAAAATTCATAAAATCAATTTCTTAAATCATCCTAAATAAAACATTTTTGAGTCTAAAATACTATTACATAAGCTAATAAAAAAATAAGGTTCGAACGGAGCTGACTTATTTTACTACAAAATATTTAAAAACTACCTATTTAAACTAGTTTTAAACGGACCCAATATTTTTCTACTTGAAAGAGATGCCAACATTTTCACTAACTCAATCTTTAATTTCTAACTTGTAAGCATATGTTTTTGGGGACTGCAAATCAGAAGTAATGATATTCACATTCCTATAATTGATATTTTTGTCTCACTAATGAGAACATACAATGTGGATCCATGTCATTAGGCATGTGCATTGGTACTTTGCCACATCATTGGGTGAAAATGAACAGTGCCCAACCATTGAACTATCCAATCTCTACAACAGTGCCAACCGACTTTATATCTCTGGTGTTAACACAACCATAAATAAAATAAACTAAAAGATTAGATATATAGCCTTTGGGAATTGTGATGTGCCATTCTCAAGATGTGAGAAAGGGGGAAAATAGACCTGAAGAACAATCATCAATTGTATCATGGGAATGAATTGTATGATGAGAATGAACAACAATAACACAATCCACATGCAATGATAATCGAATCGATAAAAACCCTAAATCATTCCAAGACAGATCTCCATAATTAAGTGGACCATAACTGACTAATTACATGGGAATCGACACCTATCTATTCAAAAAAAAAATAATAATATTTGTATGAATTTATGTATGCCTAAAAATAATAAAATTAGAGGGTGACACGTAAAAGAGATACAACGGTTATGAAATTTTTTTGTGGAAGTTCATAATTGACAGAACAGTTGGAAAAAATAGAATTCTAAAAATCCAAAAAAAGTGAGAATGACGTGACATAGTGAGCCATTAGTTGAAGACGGTTCAATACACATTTATGCATATCGAGAAAAAGGTCATAATAATAGTGTATGTCTACGTATCTCAAAAAAAAAATTAAAATTATAGTCATGGCCGAAAAAGATAATTTTGACTATTAAAGGTAATTCTTATAAATAACAAAAGTCAAGCCCCAAAAAAGAGATTTACGATCAAATATAACAAATTTTATACAGAGAAAGCCCATCTTACACTAATTTATCTTTACTCTCGAGTAACTTTACTTTTTTTGTAACTCATCACCTCGGTGATATTTTATTACTTTCATTTAATATTAAGTATAATACTTCTTTCATCTTCCAAACTTAGTCTACTTATTATTTTTTATGTTTCAGTCCATTACGCTATTAGTTAGAAAATTATTTAAAATTCTTGAACCCTAAGACAAAGAAAAGAACTCAGAGGTAACTGCTTCAACTTTAATATGTAACTCAAGCGCAGATTGAGCGAAGTAATATAATACTCGGAAGTCCGAGGTCGAACCCTCAAGCAATTGTAACAAGAAAGCAATCACACAAATATACTTAAACAAATTTAAAAATAAATAATTTGTTTAGGGAATTGTTGAACAAAGAAAGTTGATTTAAATAATTAAAACAGTAATAAAAATACTAGAGCATCAAGTACTTCATCTCAATTTCATACAATAATGATTAAAGACTCAAATCTTAACTTGAGATACGAATCAAATGTCGATTGATTAGAGTAACAAATCAAGTAAGAAATCCTAAAGTTATAGTCAGAAGATTATTCAGAAACCTGAATAATCATCTAATTATATTATTTTATGAAATAATGAAAATTATCTCAAGCGTGGAATAACTAGGAAAATTCAAGCAATCGATGTACATAGTACAACGACTCAAGGATTTTTATAGAGCAAAAATTTTGCTATAAGATCAGAAGTTAAATTAACAAAATATCATAAATCATTAAACTCAGAATCAATAACATTACCATACTTCATTGAGAGGTTCTCCCCTACACTTAGTTTAGCCTTCTAGCAAGACATGATGAACTAAAATAAAAATAAAAAGATAGGAAAAAGAATAATCTTAATCCTAATCCTCTCTCTCAATAGGTGAAAATCCTTATTTATAATAAAAATAAATCTTAAGTATAGATAAAATATTTAAGGTTGGCTTGGAAGAAATTTCTTTGGGGCACGGGTAAAAAATCTATCCCGATTTTGAGCTTCAAGTTTGCATATTTAGAGGTTGAATCACGAAAATTTTGTGAAACACACTTTTGTAGCCTTTGAAGTCTTCTTTTTAACCCCCCAAAATCAAGTAAATCGAATATCAAAGTCAAAAGTTATGACTAAAATACTGAAAACATGTCAAATCCTTATCTTCTAGGATATTTTCCTAATCCAACTCTAAATGAGTTTTTTTCCAACTTGGACTCTTATATGGGTTAAATTGTTGATTTATCTTCAAGTTTTCCAATCTCAGTCTTGACTCTTCAATCCTTATCAGTAATGATTCTTCCTCTAGTGATTGTTTCACTTACATTATTCATTATTACTTTAAATCAACCAATTTACCTGCAAAATAAACCAAGCAATTAGAAAAAGTATCAAACTAGAAAATGTAGGAATTTAACACATTTAATCACAAATAATATGCAATTAACCAATCATTAAATATAATAAAATAGTAATTTTGATGGTTAATTAGTAACCTTACACTTCATTATAATTGTATGAAGATTCACAATTTTAGAATCTCACATCAATTCGAGTATGTTAAGTCCTACATGTTTAGATCTTAAGTCCCATTGAACTTTCACGCTCATGTAATCCAAAAATACGTCAAATACAATTACAATTTATCTCCTAAATGAAAGTATGTTGGGCTTTGGATTTTCTAAATAATAACAATCGTGCTCCATAATATGTTCGGGTCAAGTTACACATATTTAGACTAATCTCATCTTTTGTTAGATTAAAGACATGTCATCTATATTAGAAATAAAGTAATTATAAGAAATTAATTTCTCAACCATGATTCGATTTCAAGAGTCTAAATTATAGTTTGTTCTTATTATCAATTAAATTAGATTTTACAAATTATAAAATGACAATTTTAAAATATCAAAATCTGTCGAGTTGGACTTCTTAATGGATGTTAGGCCTCTTCTTCCATGTATTATTCTAATATTCTACATTCTTTCCTCTCAATCGTCACCAACTCCCCTTTCAGTTAGGATTAGTCGATTAGAGTTATGCCATAAAGTAAAATGTGGCACCAACCGCCAGCAAATGTGATGTGACAATCAAACAAGAAACAAATCAATTGTATATGGAGTTATACAATTTTCTCTGCAAAAGCAACTAAGAATTTTACAGAGGCCATAAAAATCCTTTTTCTTCACCAACCATACCAGTGCCGTAGTCGATTCCCCTCTCTCTCTCTCTCTCTCTCACACACACACACACACACACACACACAATCAATTTTTAACCTAACCTTTGTCTCTTAGGTGTTGAATATACATTTACTCCACACCCAACAGACCCACCCCCACTTGCCCAAATAGTTTTATAGCAGACCTTTCCACCAAACCAAGTTTAAAGAAAAACAACAATCAACCATCTCGTAAACATAGAAAATTAGAACAAAACAAAACTCAGGTACAAGGTTTTAGATTTATATAGAGCTTATTGTACTAATTTTTTTATAGTATGTAACATAGATTACAATAAAGAGAAACTAAAAGGTACAAAGCCCTCACAAAAATCTACAGCTTCCCTGCAGATTTATACCAAGAACACCAGACATAGCCACATGCAGAGCACAACAAAGGGGGTGGTGAAGAAGAAACGGCCATGTACATTACCCATGTGCCTTCCAATTCCTAATTCTACCCCTCACATTCGTCCAAATTTACATAACTGAACATGCATTAGGGTTTTCATCACTGAACATCTGTGGAGGGTATGCATAGTATTCTTGGGCAATCCTTTGTGGATAGACCTCGAAGTTCTGGGGGTAATATGGGTAAAACTCTACCTTCATGAGCTCAACTTTAGGGTCTTCTTTATCTCCCTCTGTTTTGGCAACAGCAGCTTCTTCAGTGCCTTCCTTCTTCTCTTTGTTCTCTTCTTCAACTTTCTTCCCATCTTTCTCGCCATCTTCAACCTTTTTCTCTTCCTTGCCTTTGGCTTTTTCTTCCTTTTTCTTTTCTGGGTCTATCTTCACAATCACTGCTTGTTTTCCAGTTCTCTTGTATACATAGTCCACCAGATTTTGTGGGTTGAACACACCTTTCACTGTCACTTGTGAGCTCTTTAGATCTGGCTCTGCACTTTCAACATCTATATGGAAATGATTTCATGGTGTTAGACATTGATGGGTGTTGAAGATTCAAGTAATATTAAATTGATTTGATTGCTATTAAAAGAGTCAGGATTTACTTTAGTTTGAAAGAATTCAACAGATTCTAAAGATTTGAATATTTTATTCCAATTAAAGAATATACAGATTGTGAAAGGTTGGGAATATAGAATCACAGAAAGCTTTTTTTTTTTCAGTCTAATCCCATGAACCAAAAAATGAAGGGGAAACAATATACCAAAAAAGGTAAATTTATTACCAAAATTATATACCTTTCATTCTCTCTATGCGTTTTTTGATTTCCTGAGAACAAGCCTCACAATGCATGTGGACTTTCAAAACCACCGTGATCACCTGAGGCTGCACAACAAGGACATGATTTCAACAACCCAACAAACAAATCAATGAAAATAAATAAAAAAATCTTTGTAAATAAATGTATCAGATAATAATAACAAAAACCTCCTCTTTTTTCTCCTCGGGTTTGACAATTTCTTCAACTTTCTTGGGCTCTTCGGCCGGCGGCTTTGGTATCGGAGTGAGAAGCTCAACTTTCCGGTGGCTCTTCTTCTGAACCCTCTCAAGAACCTTCAATGGATCAGCCTTTTCACCCTTCACAACCACCTTATGCGTCGAGCAATCCGTCAGAACATCCTCAACTCCTGCAAAAACCCAAATACAGATCAAGAGAGAGAGAGAGAGAGAGAGAGAGAGAGAAGAGAGAGAGAAACAAATTTCAAACCTTCGAAGCCTTTGAGGCATCGACGAACTTTTCTGGCGCAACCTTCGCAATGCATGAAGACTCTCAAGACAATCTCTGGAGGTGGTGGTGGGACTTTGGATTCCTTTGACTCCTTGGATTCTTCTCCTTTTTTCTCTTCTTTTGGGGCATCTTTTGGCTTTTCGGCTTTTGGTTCTTCTTTCTTGGCTTCCTCGGGCTTTTTTTCCTCCTCTTTCTTTTCCTCTGGTTTTTTCTCCTCCTGAAAACCACCAGATATAACCATATCAGTCACATAACAAAAAAAAGAAGGAAAAACAAAGGGAAAAAGAAATGGTTGAATTTGAGAGAAGAAGATTGAGGCTTTCAGGACCTCCCCCATTTGGGTTCTCTCTGGTTCCAAAATGAGAGAAGTGGGTTGAAGGTAGCTAGCTGATAAGCTTGGGAATCACAAAGTGACAAACTGTGTGTTACTCTCTCTCTCTCTCTCTCTCCTCGCAAACTCAATGGCCCAAGCTTGGATTTGTGTACCACTATCACAATGTGCTTCTTTTGGCCATCAGATCTAGAGTACTAATGATCGTCATCATAACTGACGAGGCTATTCTATAGCTGGCACGTGCAACTGAGGGCAATTCACAATCCGCAGATGAACTGTGGCACGTGCAAACTGAGGGCACCTTGCAGTAGCAGATGACTTTTTTCAGTCTTTTGGCAGTGTTTTGATCCAAAAAAAAAAAAAAAAAAGTCTTTTGGCACTGTTAGGAATAGAAGATTGTTTGGAATCGGAGATAGGGTACTACTAGTCTATCTAGTACTACTCTAATGCAACTAAAACTCTTCGATTTGAATATTATTCACGTTTAAAATGTCGATATTAAAGAAAAATTGGGTACGAGGAGAATTTGATTCTATTCAGTTTGAAATTAGATTCAATTGTCAACTTATAAATATGTATAACAATATGGGCTTAATTAGGATTTAACCTGATATGAATTTGAAGATGACTTCGATAATTCAAGTTGAATTAACAGAATTTGGAACTCTAATTTGAATATAGTTTTGATTTAAATTACAGTGAATTTCTTTTAACCTAAGTTCAATTTAAATATCAATTTTTTTTATTGAGGCATTAAATATTTAACGTTAGATTTGAATTCGGTTCGACTCAACCCATCCAATTTACACGCTTAACTTGTCTTAAACTTGTATGTAGTTGGTTTTTTTTTCTTCTCTTTTTTCGTTATTTTTGCTGCTTATGTTCCCAAGTCCAACCTCCTCTCCCACTAAGATTTTACAAGTGTGTTTTCAAGCAAACAATTACTTGTTCATGCCAATAGCAAAGAGTCTTGTACCAACCCACCACAATTATATATGATTGAGTGATATCTCAAATAAATATCATGTCTTTCAAATTCTAGTCTGATTCAACAATATTCTATGAACCACCTAATTAATGATATAAATATTCCCACCACACCTAATAAATTCAAGACAAACGACATGAAATCAAATCTCCAATCTTATACTTCTTTTTCCACCAAGCAATAAACCAACTTTGAGTAACAAATACTCACTACAATATGAAACGTAAAGTTACAAAAAAAAAAAAAACATGATTTATCATATTTTCATCCTTAGTTATATGTGGAATTTATATTGTACATGTGTTGAAAAACTTAAAAAAAAAATAAGAAGATTCACCACTTGATTAATTGAAATTTTCAAAATTGTTCGACTCGGCTCTGTAAAAAAGGTAGAGAGATGCAATGGGGACATGGTGGCTACATCTTTACTAATTTTGTTTTTGAGTATATAACAATGATAATGAGATTTAAAGCTCGATGTAACTCTTTTTGTATTTATATCACTTAATAATAAATTCAAGAGAAAGACGTCAAAAAATTATGGCCTTAGTTCTGATATCTTGGTCAGCAGACTTTTGATAGAATTAAAAGCGATAACTAGACTAGATGGCACTCTTTATAAGCTCTTGAACTCAAAAATTACCAATTTTTTGCTTAGTCCTGTGATTTTTAAAAAGTCATTTTGTATGTGGGTTCCTTAGACATATAATTTAGAAGGAACTAGAATTGTATATATGATTTTCACTCCACCCTTATTATAAAATCTCTAAGAAACAATTTCCCTCGTCATGTGGTGTCTGATTTGGACATCTCTACCACTAGCCATGTGGGTTGTAACAAAGCCAAAATGTCAATTCTATGTTGTATCTTAAATGTAGCACTTTGCCATGAAGGCGTTCCTACTCATATGACTCATTCGAGGCTGCTACAAACAAGTTAGAAAAGTCTAGAAGGTAGCATACAGCTTAGATTTATATCAGACTGCGATTTGGTGAGATAAATGTATATAATTTCATTTGTATACGAAAAGATTATTTTAACTTCAAGAGATAGTTCAAGTGTTAATAAAGATAAATTATAAATTCAGACGTCTTGAATGTGAATTTTAGTAACCCTTGGGCCAGACCATGAAAGATTTATCAATCCTTCATGAATACCTTAATCCTAGCGTGGATAGCCTGTCTTTTACCAGACTAAGAAGAAAATTAGTCGAAATGCACGTAAATTAACTCGAACACCATTAACCGTTAAATAAAAAAAAAGGAACTATTTTTATTCTTCAACCTGTGATGCTGAAATTAAAATAGAACAGATTGCTGCAATACAGACTCTCAGATACTTACAAAAATTATAACTGTGAATAATCAATTTTGCAGGATATTTGCTGTAACCCATATCAAATGCATCACTAACAAAGGATTAGCTCACATTTAATTCATGTTCAGGAGACACTAGTAATTATGGATTAACTAATTGTTGGACCAACAACCACCAGAAACTTGAATGCCATTTAAAGAATTAACCTTGTCTTGATTCACAGTATCTGTCGATATTAATATTAATATTAATATGAGTCGAATGAGTCATATTTGATTCGATACTTTTCGAGTCTATTACACATTACCTACAAAATCTAAGACTTGCTGAATTATCGTCCTTAGATTAATTGATATGATTTCGTGAAATCGTGAAATGGCCTGAATCTATTGTTATATTCAACTTTTTCTTTTAGGTCAATATCAATATGTCTTAAAACCTTACAAGTTGATGTCTGATACCACAAATTTGAAGTATGAACCTCATATTCACGCAATCTGGATTCTAGTTAACTCAAAAATAAGTCTTTAACAACAAAGAAAAATATAGGGAAAATTTCAACCGCACCTCCTCTAGTTTT